TGAGAGGAAAACCAAAGGGCAGGCGAACTGCAAATGTAGGCAGCTGCCCTGAGGAGGGAGAAGACAGCCTTTTCAGCTGGGTGCGGAGCTCACTCAGCAAGCAGATGGAGCAAGGGCGGGTCTTCAGAGAACAGTGAGAAAGCCCAGGGCTTCGGAGAAAGCATGCTTACTTAGGCTTTGGGCTAGTATCCAAAAGCAGGAAAAACAAGGAAAAGAGACTTAGTTCTGGGTACCAAGGGCAGCCCATTCCAGACTCTTGTGTCCCTGGACAAAAGATTGTGCCAGAGTCACAAACTTAGAAATAAAAACTGTGTCGAGGGAAAACTCCATGACAAGGAGCAGACTAGTAAGCTGAGGGAAAAACCTTCAAAGTCCTGTGTCACAAGGATGGTGACCTTTTATAGGGCATTACATAGCATCTGTGTAGCATGTTTGTGCAAATGTCCCCTTATTAAAATGAAGCCCAGTGGGGAGGCTTCCAGTCCTTCTCTGCCTCTGCCTAGGTTAATCTTGACACTGCTTCTGCAGGCCTTACTCCTGCAATACTGGTTCGGGTTTTAAGAACAACGACTCTCTTCATGGTACAGGGAGGGACCTTGCATATGCTTTTAGGAAGACAAAACCGGGCTAGGCAACCCCTCTTCAATTTGCTGTTTGTCAAGAGTCTTCACCTCAAAATAATCAATATCCCAGAGCAGCACATGGGGCAGCACATCCTGCGTGTCTCACCTACTGTCTCCTAATTCAGCAGTTGTGAGGTATTCAGAGAGCTATGAAACACACTTAGAATTTGCTGTGGGGTACTGCTCTTGTCGCCTGTAAAGGTTTGTCACTCGTACTGGTTTAATAAAACTCTGATTTGGCCAGTAGCCAGGCAGGAAGTATAGGTGGGGTGACCAGACGAGGAGAATTCTGGGAAGAAGAAAAAAGGCTCAGTCTGTAGTCACCACCCAGATGCAGCGAAAGCAAGATGAGAATGCCTCACTGAGTAAGGTACCAAGCCACATGGCTAAACATAATAAGAATTATGGGTTCATTTAAGTTGTAAGAGCTAGTTAATAATAAGCCTGAGCTAATAGGCCAAACAGTTTATAATTAATATAAGCCTCTGTGTGTTTTGTTGGGAACTGAACAACTGCAGGACCAGGCAGGACAGAAACTTCTGCCTACAAGAACTCTCAAATTGCAAAGAGATTTCTCACAAAGCCTTCAAAATGAGTTATCCAGACACAAACTGAAGAAGGTATAAATAAATAAATAAATAAATAAATAAATAAATAAATAAAAGCAGATGTGAGTCAAGAAAGCTCTCCCTACTCTGGGCTCAGTTTACCCTCCACCATTAAATTCCTACAGAGGAAGGCGCATAATCCTCCACAAACACCTTTTCATCCCCTCTTTCAATCAAGCTTTGTTTCAACTCATTTTTCTATTTCTTTATATTTTCCTCCTCAAACTCTCTTCAAATGGGTAAGCTCTGAGAGCCCCAGGACCCATTAGCTTCTCAGTCCCTGGAAAGTCGTTGTACAGTTTGCTCCTGAGGTTGCTGGATCCAAGCCATCCATCTGCCAGATGGGCATCCCCATGTTTGCATGCGTCCAGAAGTTTCCAGAGAAGAAGAGTTTCTCACCATCCCTTGGGCCTCTGCCTGCTGCTCCGCTACCTGAGGCTCTTGCTGTTGTTCTGCTCTTGAGGGAGAAAGCCCCTTTCAGGCTGCGGGAGTGTCAGTGCCGCTACAGACACAGCCCCAGCTACCCACAGCCTAAGCGGCTCTTTCCCACCCTCTACTTCTGGCTAGAGTGTGATGCCTTGGAGCGATTTACATGTGCTCTATGGTTGCAAATACTTTCTTTCTTCAAGTGACCCCCTCAAAGCTGAAGAGCAGGCTGTAAGAGCAAGCAGGAAAGAAAGGCTCCCGAGCAAGTGGAGTAAGCCCACGGCAAACTGCTCATACCGCAATAAGCCGCAGTTCCTTTTGGGAACTACAGCTCCCAGATTCCTTCTGGATTACGGACACCTGCGCCCGCAGGCGCGTCCAGGTGCAGAACCTTTCTCCCAGACACCCTTGCGTTCCCCGTTAAAAAGCGAGCTCCCACGAGTTTTCGCTCTCTTTCCCCTCACCCTCTTGTGTCTTGCAGACCTGTCCCTTATTGTGCTACCCCCCCATTAACGCGCACCCACGTGGGAGCCGCGTGTCTGTGTCTCCTCCTTTCGTGCGTGTTTTGTCTGTCCCGTGTTTGTCTCTACTCACACACACCCGCTTTAAAAGAATAATAAGCCCCCAGAACCTCCCACTCAATGGTAAGACTTTTCCAAAGCTCTCTAAGCTACGCTCGCACTACCAAAGGCATTGACTGCCATGCCCTAAAGCAAACTGTTGGTAAACATCTGCCCTTCCATACTTTCATGAGAAGGCTGAGCTTGGAGGGACCCTGCAGAGTCTGGGGTAGATGGTGTGGAAAAGAATCACCTCATGTGCTGGCTCCCACACCTACGTTTCAGTGACAGTAAGAAGCTGGGTAAACATTAACCATGGGAGTGTAAGCCTCCAGAACTCATAGGCATCTCCTTGGCATGCCATGTTACTAGATTAGCCAGATCGCATGGATTAGGAGAATCTGGAAATATTATTGTGAGTTATTAAAGAAAAGATGACCTCAGAAGGCTGAAGGTACTGAGATCTCTTAGAAATAACACTGTTAAGCATTATAGTGCTGTCCCCTTCCAAGATATAAAGTCTCACTGGAGAGTGTTAAAAATAATCTTAAGAGGAGCCTCTTCACCGAAGCAAAGAGTTCCAATCAGACCAGATTAGACCAAAACAAAAATGCCCATGTTTAATAAATGCAGAACTCCCGGGTGGCACGGGAGCATGGGGGGATGAGGGTAGACAGGAGAGGGGAGTCCACGCAAATCCTGAGACCACTTGTTCCTTTTCCCTGTACAAGCCTAAATACAAGTCTGTGGGAGTGGTCCTGACCCTCCCTGGGGAGGGAGTCAGCACTTGGTGGGCTTCCTGGAGGTGGAGTCCGGATCAAGGTGACTCCCAGGGGGAGGGGGCTTCCCAGCCAGGTATTACAGAGAGTAAGGTAGACTAATTCACTAAAGCCAGGCATCTACCTACTCCTGGTCCGGAAGCCATGAGTATTCACCTGTGAGACTAACTACCCCAGAAACTTCTTCATCATTCCCTAGAATCCCCATCCACACCTTTCTCCTTTTCCCCGTGTCTGACACACCAGTTTGCGGGGGTGGGGGTGTGAACGCTAAATCTGGTCAAGTTCAAGGTCCCATTCATGGGCTCCCACCCCTGAGCCCCAGGTCATCAGTGTGAACAAGCTACCTCTGTAGCCATGGAAGACCTTGCTGATGGAAGGCACATGGGCACTTTCCATGGAGACCACCGGGCCCCCACCGCTAGCAATCCCCTTACATGAGCTGCAGCCAGTGTGCACAGAGACAAGGGGCCTCAAGATTCCTCTGCTGCCACCATCAGAGCAGGGAAAGCTGGTCTCTATCCTTCTGAAAGGTTACCTTTCTTTCTGAACAAAAAAAAGGAAAGAAATAAAAAGGAAAACATATGATTGCTCCTAGGTGTGGTGCAGGAGAGAGTTTATTATAGATAAAAGAGCCTAGTCAGAGGCAGGGACATCAGAGTGACCCTGAGCCCTGTGAGGAGAGGAGGAGGGGAAAAGGTGGGGGTAAAAAGGGGGACCACGTACAGCAGCTAGGAAGGCAAAGGTACAAGAAGGGGTAGGTAGGTAATCATAGTGGTTGCTCTATTTAGGGAAGAGCCTCTTGGGGAAGGGCAGCCCCACTGGTAGAATGTGGGGTATGCCAGCCATAGCCTGTGATAGGTAGGGGCTGAGGGATGCAGGGAGGACCCGGGGCCAGAACTGCTTTGACATGTTAAATAGGCAAATCAGCCATTTGTCTAGGGTTTGCAACTTAGCACTTTCACTATGCACTCCCCCGACTACCAATACCACACACACACACACACACACACACACACCAAGGGATGGCACGGTGTCTTGACAGAAGCTTTACAGTATAAATCATTTCTCTAGGAACCACAAATCCATCTTGATCTGCAGACCCTGGCGCTGGCTTGGCTGGCGGTACTCAGTCTTTGCAGAACGAGACCCAGGTGGGGTGGCTGTGAAGAATGAAGATTCCGGGCCTCTGGTGGGAGGTTTTAGGCAGCAGCTCTAGCCCCTGCCTTTTGTTTCCACTGTGCCAACTCCAAATTGCCCACTCCCAGGCTCTTCTCAGCACACCCTTCCAGATTCCTTCAGATTCCCTTGTTCCCTTCGGGGCCAAGTTCAATACTTCTGCTCCTGTTCCCTAGGTCTCAGTCTTCGGTTCCATCATCTTAGTCCGTGCCCTCCCCTGCTTCCCTCCTCTCTTGACAATACTTTTTCTGGAAACATCTTCTGGTTTCTCATAACTCTGCTCTTTGTCCCACTTCCACCTCTCTGCAGCCAAGTCGGTTTCCCGGTAGGGAACTATTGCTCACTCTTTCCATTGTGATTCTGAGAACCCTAAAGTCGTTTTTACCATTAGAAGGCAGGATTCTACTACAGTCGTTTTATAGATATATTCAGGTTTATTTTAGATGAAAAAAAAATTAAGAAAATCTGTATTTTGCTACATAGGCTAAGAAAAAACTGACAAAAAGCAAAGTAAATTTGTGGGGGGAAACATGTCTTAGGAATAAAATGGAGGCTTCCCATTCCTGTTGAATTAGGAGCGGCGGCAGGGCTGGGTCCCCGGCACCCGGCCGCCCGCATGGCTAGCTTATGCCCAGAAATAATTACACGGAAACTGTATTCTTTCAAACACTGCCTGGCCCGGCTAGGTCCAGTTTCTTATTGGCTAGCTCTTACATATTGTTCTAACCCATTTCTAATATTCTGTGTAGCCCACAAGCTGGCTTACCAGAGAGGATCTTAACCTGCGTCTGTCTGGAGTGGGAGCATCATGGCGACTCCTCACACAGCTTCTTTTTCCCAGCATTCTCCTCTGTCTACTCCGCCTACCTAATTTTCTATCCAATAAAATGGGCCAAGGCAGTTTCTTTATTAGTAAGAAATCATTCCCACATCATTTCCCCTTTTTCCGTTTAAACAAAAAAGAAAGGCTTTAACTTTAGCATAGTAAAATTACATATAACAAAACAGTTATCAAGTAAGAATTACAGTTACAATATTTATATCTATTTTATCTCTTATCATAACTAAGGAAAACTATAACTATTTATTCTTCAACTCCATCAAAGACTCCAGAAGGATATAATATTATCTAAGTAAACAAGAAATAAGAAAACTCTAGAAATGACAGAGACATCTCGCTGCCTGGACAGTCACCCAAAGTTCCTCTGTACCGTTGGGGCATCCATCTTCGGCCTACAGGCCCATGGTATCCAGATACATTTCCATGAAGCAGGAAATTTTAAAGACAGTTCAGTCACTTTCTGCTGTGTTCTGTAGAATGTCTTGTAGACTCTTTCATGAATCAGGAACCCCGAAAGACCATCTCACCTTTAGGCAAGTTCAGCAGTCCTCTCTCTGAGGGTTCTCTGTGTCCAGTTTATGCAACAGTCCAGGCAAGAGCAGTTTCTTGCCCAAATGACTATCCAACTCCATAAGGATCCTCTTCGATGCCCATCTTCCTCTTGAAGTAGCTGGTGCTGCCAGGAGCAGACGTGTCTCCTTGTCATGAAAAGTCCTAAGTTATTAAAATATTTTAAATGCCATATTCTGCAGTCTTTGAAAGATATGAAGAATGCCTATCTAATTGAAATATATCTCTATATATCTAGAAAATCTAACTAACATGACTACAAGCTTAACTATTAGCAATGATTATCCATTAACAACCTATATTTCCTAATTATACATTACATTTTAAGTGAACTACATAATCACAATACCTTAATCAAGTTCAAAAATACATATACATATAACAAAATTGACCTTAAAATCCATACCAATGCAAATTATTCATATCTATATCATATCCCCCTTTAAATGTAAAAGAACATTTATAAACAATATTTGGGAACATGGGCGTAGTTTTTTCTCTCCAAACTGCTTCCTGCTGAATGGGGGCACTGTTAATCAGATCATTTAGGGTGTAACCTGTGTGTCAGGTTCATCTCGGTTGGCAGTTGAGTGAAGTAATTTTTTGAGGGTGTTCACAGCAACCTTTCAGGAGGGCGTGGTCTATCATACCATACCGGGATAGATGCAATCCATAGGGTCACATCCTCTGTGGAAACAAAAGAAGACCCTCTCCAAAGCATCATATCCTTAGATCCAAATTTTGAAGTCAAGATACCTTTAGAACATATGTGCAGGTTCAGCTTAGCAGCCCATATAATAAAATGTCTCTTTGTACTTAGCTCCTTCACAGTCAAAAATTTTAAAGAAAACACAATGTACATAATCCAGACTCTCTGTGAATTTTTCATTTTTACGTGGCTTATTTTTCTTTATTTCTCTTAATCTATAACTATCTGTACTTCTGTACTCTGTCTCTTTAAAGACTTTACCCTTTTTCTTTTTAAGACATTAACTTTATTCTTTATATTCTCTTTTTTTCCCCAAGCCTACGTACATTCATCCAACGGTGTCTGAATCTGTTTTACTGTGAATCTGTAATTTTTTTTTTTTTTTCCAGGAGCATTTCTTAAAATGTTAAGCATTTCTTAAAAACTTAAGTTGCACCATGTATAGGTAATACGGTACTGCCTGTGTCCTGCCCAGTCTAAACCTTAACTGCACGGTTTTAAGGTAATTACGGTAGTTCCTGCCTGAGATCAGCACAGTTCAGCAAGGAGCAGCCGCTCCTGCCTCAGAGTCATTTGGTGCTTTTGAGCTGAGCACAGTTACAGGCAAACAGCAGTTTACATTGGAGCCGCAATCAGCAATTTAATTTTGAGACTGAGTGTGCAGCACAGAAACTCTTTTTATCCAAGTTACAGCCAAATCTGACACGCAGAGCACTGCGCAGTCTGAAAACGCGTCTCTGTATGGCAGCAGGAATCCGCCATGCTCTTCCGCCTGCCTAAGCCTGATTCCGCCATCTGCCCAGGTGTAGGCAGGGAACGCTGAGCCATCGGCAGGTCTCAGAGCAATCTCCTCCGATCCCAAGTGGGAACAGAAACATCCAGTCCCATAAAAGCCTTGAAATGCTTTAAAGCCAGAGTTCACGCTGGCAGCATAGCACCAGGAAGCCGCGCTTTAAAATGACGCAGCTTTTTTTCTCTGCTGCTGTTGCTGAATCAGGAATCTCTCTACAGCATGTCACCAACAAAACAGCAAAAATCTGTGTTAAACTCTGTTTCCCTTATTTTTAAGGCTTCTCAGGTTTTTAAGTGGATTTAGCCCCACGTTGGGCGCCATCTGTTGAAATAGGAGCGGCAGGGCTGCGTCCCCGGCACCCGGCCGCCCGCATGGCTAGCTTATACCCAGAAATAATTACATGGAAACTGTATTCTTTCAAACACTGCCTGGCCCGGCTAGGTCCAGTTTCTTATTGGCTAGCTCTTACATATTGTTCTAACCCATTTCTAATATTCTGTGTAGCCCATGAGCTGGCTTACCAGAGAGGATCTTAACCTGCATCTGTCTGGAGTGGGAGCATCATGGCGACTCCTCCTCTAACCTTCTTTCTCCCAGAATTCTCTTCTGTATACTCCGCCTACCTAATTTTCTATCCAATAAAATGGGCCAAGGCAGTTTCTTTATTAATAAGAAATCACTCCCACATCACATTCCAGTCACGTTTTGCTCATGTAAATCTTTTTGGCAGTGATCTCAAGGTTTTAGTAGTTGGGGATGTAGCTCAGTTGGTAAAGTGTTTTCCTAGCACAAAGTCCCAAGTGTTTATAAAGTAGATGTGGTCACAGAGGTCTGTAATCCCAGCCCGCTGAGGTCAAAAGTTCTCTGCTATCTGTGGAGTTCGAAGGCAGGTTGAGAAACCTGAAGTTCTGTCTTGACAATTGAAAATCAAACAAGCCGAATGGTAGAGTTCATTTCTTTTAGTCCAGCACTCAGGAGGTAGACGCAGGCAGGTCTCTGAGTTCAAGGCCAGCCTGGTCTACAGAGTGAGTTCCAGGGCAGCCTGGGCTGCACAGAGAAACCCTGTCTTGAAAAACCAAAGAGGTCAAAAAGTGTAGTTCAGTATCTTCCAAAAATGTGATAATACTTTGAGATGAACTCATTAGATTTCCACTATTTTAATGATAATGTAAACGGGGGAGGGTGAAGAAACAGGAGAGTTAAATTCATCACACAGTCCCGGCCCCAGTACTGTATGACTGCCACCTAGTGGCGAGATATCCTCAGCACAGGGGTCCTGACTGGGTCCTTGTAGGAAACTGGGTACCTTGACACTGCGAGGCTCGTCCCTAAACTAAGGCCGCCGCTGGGTGGCGAGAGTAGTTCTATTTTCTGCAATGCCAACTTTCATAGCTTCCAGGGTCATTGTAAGAAATGCGCATCTGTTGGTCCAGTTTCAAAGAAAGTTGTAGAAGGGCCGTTAGCGAGTCACAGTAGGACAGCCAGAAGGTGTTGCTAAGGTCTGTCATTCCCGTTGGCTCAGTAAACAGTTGGTGATTTTTAAAAGGGCGCTACCGTTTGCTGGATTTTGAATCCCTGGGGCGAGTGAAGAAAGAGCAGCGGTCTAAGATGACGGACAACAAGCAAACCCATCCTAAGCCTGGCAGAACAGAGCCACGAATATCTTCATATTCCCAAGCCTCTGTATCTTCCATGACGCTCTCTGGAAAGTACCCAAACCCCTCTCATTCATTTCTCTTTTTTTTTCCCCATCATTTCTTTTTATTTTATTTTTTTTAGATTTTAATATAATTACATCATTTTCTCCCTTTTCTTCCCCCCAGCTCCTCTCATTTTCCCACCCCTTGCTTTCTTTCAAATTCATGGCCTCTTTGATTGTTGTGTGTGTGTTCCTAAAGGTATAAGTACAGCGCTAAGCCCATATAATATTACTTGTATGTGTGCTCTGAGGGCTAACTATTTGGTTTTGCTTGGTATGTGCTTCCCTGGCAAAGACTATTTCTCCTGCTCTCGGCATTTCTGAGTTGCCTGTATTAGGGCTGAAGCCTCATAAGCCTTCTCCCCTCCACGTTACCACACCTATGGGTTTGGTCCTTGTTCTAGGCAGCCACGTCGGTGAGTCTTCCTGGGGTAGCTCCTCTGACATTTCTAGAGATGACCTCCCGGTAAAGTTCCTGTTTCTCTGGCTCTTCCAAATGTTCTGTCCCTACTCTGCTGTGACCCCCGAGTCTGAGGTGCAGGAGTTGCACTGTGGCTGCATCAGCTGGAATTGAGCGCCAGCATTCTGTAGTTTGGTTAGTTGTGGTTTGCTGGAACCGAAGTTTCTTTGGTGAGGTGTGAGGATTATAGGTACCTGCTGGTATAAAAACAGATATTCAGAATGTAGTCAGGTTTGGTATGCTCTTAAGCTGGCTTGGTAAAGTGTAGGTTCCCTTCCAAGAGCCATGACTTCATTAGTGCCAGGTAGCTGGTTGGCTGGGTGCCAAGGTTTTCCTCCTGTTGAATGGGTTCCCAGTCATTTGTGAACTCCAGCCCCAAAGTGCTTGGACATCTTAGTTGATCTGTCTCCTCACTCTTGCCAGCCCTGGTAATTTTAAAGTTGACCCATATTCATGTTTAATCTTATGCGGATGCCTCTAGGAAACCAAAAATATCCCAACAGCTGCCTAGTTGCTCTGCTCGGTTTTGCTTATTGTCACTGACGTTGATTATCTATAATGAGGGTCAACGAAGAAGACAAAGCAAGGTCAGGATAAGGCCCGCAGCATCCAGCGGAGCTCAGACGACTTGGCTGCGTCGCCTTGAGTCAGCGGCTGCTTTTGCTGCCTAAACGCAATAACTGGAAAGTTGGAGGTTTCATCTCAGCCCATGCTTTCACTGTTCAGAAATCAGTGCCGGGATGATTAAGCACGACCTTTCCATGCAGATGGTGTCTCGCTACATCAGCACGAACGGCACCTGTCACACGAACCCGCAAATGCAGATGTTAGCATGTTTCAGGACACCGTGTCTTGAAGTCAGAAAGCGAGTGGCGCAGCGAAGGCTAGGCAGAAGGCGCCTAATGGTCCACGGTGGAAAGCGGCTCTGCGGTTCTAGGAAACTAGGGAGCTTGAACAGTGCAGTGCTCTCCTTCTGATTGCTGGAGCGATGTAGAAACACTGCTGTCCAAAGTCATGCGGCTTCCTGTAACAGGAGGTTAAATACAAATGTTAAATACACACAGTCCTGAGCATCGACATAAAGCCTATGTCACGTGTGGATGCAAAGGGGGCGTAAGTAACTCTGAATATTTGTTTTTAAGAAGTTACATATTTTCTTCACCTAATCAATAGATCAAGGAAAAAAGGTGTGTTTTATCTCAACGTAGGAGCAAAATGTTGTGTTATTTGTTCAGATGGCTTGTCACAGCGCCAAAAGGCTGACTAAATGGGGCACCTCCACCCTTAGCTGTGGTAACTTTGGTTCACGGCAGTTGTGAGAAAAAGCATGTGGCCTTTATTTCCCATCTGCACTCAGGGAGCTGTGGAGATAAAGGGGCCATGTTTAATAACAAACAGTACCAGAGGAGCTCAGAGGACCCTTCTCTCTGTTGATGGTGATGGTGGGCTTGTCAGGTGACTAAACGAAAGGCAAATGTTGGGATCTCTGAGCTTTCTGTAAGGACAAACAGATAAGAAAAGGCAAAGGCAGTCTTCAGTTCCAAGGAGCAATTTGTTTTCCCTACCCTCATTAGAGGAGTGCAATTATTAGATGTCTTTCTTCCAGTGAAGCATCTTCTTCTTAGTCATTGTTTCTTTGTTTTGAGATAATGTCTCATTTTGTAGCCCTATTTACCTGGGCAAGAACAGTCATCATATTAATGCGATAATTTAAAGAAAGGTTCACAAGATTGTGATAAAGAAAATGTTTCTGAAAAGATGGTCAAAGGGATGAGGAGACGGCACCGAGGATAAAGTGCCTCCTATGTGAGTGTGAGGACCAGAATTCAGAGCACACGATGCATCTGAATCCAGGCAGGAAAAGAGGCTGCCTGCAGTCCCAGTGCTCAGAAGGCAGAGATGATAGTTTTCAAGGCAAGCTGGCTGGTTAGACTAACCAGAACTGGTTCAGAGGGAGACCTTGCTTAATTAATAAAATGATGAACAATCAAGAAAGATACTTGACATCAGTTTTAGGCTTCCACATACCTGTGCATGTGTGACCACATACAACACACACACATACACACATGATGATTCTGATGTGGAATTTCCCTCTGTATGCTGTGATTACCATTAGTGAATAAAGAAACTGCTTTGATCCTATACCAGGATAGAACTTAGGTAGGCGGGGAAAACTAAACTAAATGCTGAGAGAAAGGAGGCAGAGTCAGGAGAAGCCATGTAGCCACCACTAGAGATGGAAGCCTTTAGTTGGTAAGCCACAGCCTCGTGGCCATACACAGAAATGGGTTAAGTTAAGATATAAAAGTTAGCCAATAAGAAGCTAGAGCTAATGGACCAAGCAGTGATTTAATTAATTAATACAGTCTCTGTGTGATTATTTTTGGCCTAAGCAGCTGGGAACCAACAAGCGGCCTTCACTCCAACATGATTCCAGATGTAACTCATTGGTTGAATGCTTGCCTAGAACGCATGAGGCCCTCAGCATAGCCAAAGGGGGAAAAAAATCAACAAAGAGTAAGATAGTCCAAAATTGTTTAAACTACTTTCTGCATACATACCTTGAGAGGTTATTTGGAAGCAAAAATCAGGTACCTTAATAAAAAGATTGTGATTTATTCTCAGCACCCACATGATGGCTCATGACTGCCTGTGACTCCTCCAGTTCCTCCAGTTCCTCCAGTTCCAGGGAATCGGATGCCCTCTTCAATTTCTATGAGCCTTGGGCACGCACATGGCCCACATACAAGCATAAAAGCAGACAAAGCAACTCGTAGGCATAAAAGAAATAAATTAGGAGAAAAGCAACAGCTAATGTATCTAATATAAAGTGTGCTGCTAAATATGATCTAGTTTAAGTTATGCTGTTACATAACAAGTTATTTCTATGTACACCCAGCACTTTGTAGACACCAACTCTTAATTGTGGTAGATAGGACCGAACAAAACTACATGGATTGATCCGAGGGCAGGGCTAGGAAAGGGGGGGGGCACCTAGAGGAAGGAAGGGACACACAGAAGGCTGTTATCAAAGGAGAAGGCAATAGATGGGGAACAAGATAAAAAAAGGGGGGGCCAGGATTTATCCCTACTGCATGTACTGACTTTTGGGATCCTATTCTCTTTGGATGGATACCTTGCTCAATCTAGATATAGCAGCGAGGGTCTTGGACCTTCCACAAGACAATGTGCCTTACCCTCTCTGAGGATTAGAGGAGGGTGGGGTGGGAGGGTGTGTAGAGGAAATGGAAGGAGGGGAAAAAGTGGGAACTGGTATTTTTTATTTTTTTATTTTTTATTTTCTTTAAAACCTTAACCTAATAGATTTTTTTTAAAAGACAATACAGTTGGGGTGTGGGGCTCTCGGCAAACATCCCCAGGACAATGGTCCCCGCCATCATCCTTGGAAAATGGCTCCCAACAAAGATTTATTTATTATGTATTCAGTGTTCATGTATCCCTGCAGGCCAGAAGAGGGCACCAAATCTCATTACAGATGGTTGTGAGCCACCATGTGGTTGCTGGGAATTGAACTCAGGACCTTTGGAAGAGCATGCAAAGCTCTTAACCACTGAGCCATCCCTCCAGCCCGGTATTTTTTTTTAATCTAATAAATTAAAAAGAAAAAAAAAAGGAAAGGGGGTCCAGGAAAGTTGAGAAAAAGTGAGGGGTCTTAGGCTGTTACTTACTTCCTTCTAAAAAAAAAATAGGGAAAATGGAAGCCCCAGAATGTGCTAAAATGGGAACAAATGAAGAAGGGAGTCAAACCCTGAACAAAGGGCTACAGGAAGGGAGAGGCAATCTGTTGCACTGGCTGTCCCGCTGTCCTGCCCGCCCCCATCAGTGCTCACGGTCCCTCCCTACCCTACAAAAGTGCTATAGTTGCTTTGTGTGCTCAGTTATGTGTGTGTTAGCAGCGGTGATTCTCCCCACGACTGTCTCTGGGAACCGAGGAACTTCTCAGTGGCAACTAGAGGAAGCCAGGGCCCCCAGGATCACTGGGAATCAGAGATGAGAGGAAGATTCCTAAGGAGACAGTGGCAGCCTCTGACGACTGCTGCTGTAGAGCATGCCCGCCCTGATCTTCAGTCTAGCAATTTCCTTATGATACCTAATGAACTAGCCCCCGGGAGAACCCCAGTTCATCATGGGATAATGGAAGAGGTACATGCAGAGAGGAGGCTCTTTATACACCCACTGCCGCCCTTCCAGGCAGATGAAATTCGCCCCTGCATAGGAGTCTAGATAGCACTGCATCTCCAGCCTACATCAATCCACTGACGGCCAGTGAGCGCTACTGTGACCCGCTCCCCCTCACCAGAGGACCAGACAGCTGCTATTCTGTAGCTTTCTTTTGAGGTCTTCTCACTGAATCCCTTTCCTCGTTTATTTATTTCTGTTGTTTTGAAGCAGGCGGGCCTTAAATTCACCATGTGGAGGAGGGTAGCCTCGAACTTGTGATCTTTTTGCCTACCTCCTAAGTGCTGGGATTACAGGACTCTCTTTGGTGTTGGGGTTGGAACCCAGGGCTTTGGGCATGCGTGTGACATGCGTATGACAGCCTTAGCCCACTGTCCTTCTTCCATAAGAGAAACAACTGTCCCCCAACCTAAGCTTCAAGGGGATCTTGGAAAGAAATTTGGAGACAGTACCAAAAACAAGCTAGGATCAAGTGAGACAGGTTGCTTGACTTTAATTTTTTTTTCATGACAGGGTTTCTCTGTGTAACTCTGGCTGTCCTGGAACTCACTCTGTAGACCAGGCTGCCCTCGAACTCACAGAGATCTGTCTGCCTCTGCCTCCTGAGTGCTAGGATTAAACGTATGTGCCACCAAACGTTTCTTCCTTCTTTCTTTCCTTCCTTCCCTTTAAAAAAAAAAAAAAAACTCTAATTTTTTAAACCCACTCAGAAAATGTTTCTGGTGTAGAAGTTTCCTTGGTGGTCCTTGCGCTGTTGTGTGAGGTGGATGTGCGCATGCGCCCTCTTCTACTTTTTGCCTAGGGGGAAGCTCCAGTTTGGCGTCCTCTGGAGAGTCAGAACTAACAGTTCAATCCTGGGTAGGTGGTCTTGCTGTTTCCTTTGGGCAAAAACTGACTTGGTGATGCACTGTGGGTGTCAGAGGTGCTGCGAGTTTGCACACTTCCTGACTGACAGAACACCCCTGCCTATGCCTCCGGCCCGGGGTGGCAGTGTCAGTGGGCGGAGCAACCAAGTTTCACTTCCTTGCTAGTCAGAGCCTCAGCCACAGAAGGCTCCTGTCTCACTGAGGAGCAGTGTGTGTCCAGCCCTGGAGCCCTTCTCTCTCAACAGCACCTGGCAGGAAGGTGGCCATCAGAAGCAAAGGAACGAATGGGCAGAGCGGAACTTCTAGGAGGGAACATGAGTATCCAGGATCCCTCAGAGCTGTGGGGTCGATCCGATGGAGGAGCAGACCTGCTCCAGGACTTGGGGTAAGAGTGCTTTTTCAAGGAGTGTAACTTGCCACTCCGTATCAACGTTCCCTTCAATCAGTGAGTAGCTTCTGTATGTCTCTTCCCTCTGCCACCCCAATCTTCTACCTCGCCATTCTGTTGATTTGTGGAAGCTTTCTGGGGGTGGAGGATGATTCATTGTAAAAGTGTAAGCTATTTTTGTTTTTTTCTTTAAGTGAAAACAGTTAGATTGAGAACCTGAGACAAAAATCAATGGTTGGGCATCCTGTAACAATTGGGGCAGAAGTGGGGCGTGTGAGTGGAAACTCCTGCTTTCTTTGATAGTGTGCTCATTTATCGCTACCTTGGGGCTGAAGAGTTCTGAACACTGCCTCTTGGCAGCGAAGAAAGGCCACACTGTGGCAAGTAAAAGGTTTTTTTTTTTTTTTTTAATTCCTGAAGAAAAAGAAGGAGGAAGTTTGTGCAGCAATCTGGCCTTTATGGTTCTTTCTTCTGACATGGCCCTTGGGAGCTCTTTCGTAGACTATTTTCACAGTCTCTGGAAAGGCAACACACACCCTCTTAGCCAGCCACAGCCCGAGAACTAGGTAGTGACAGCTCGGATTCAGAGAGGTCGAGAAGGTTAGGCTAGGTGGGACCATCAGAGCGCATCACAAGGGAGCTTGACGGCACTGTGCATGGGGACTTTTAGTCAAGATGGAAAGGCTATTCAGAGAGGAATGGGGGCTTCCTTGGGGACCGAGCCTTGCACCCAAACACTGTGCTTCCCAAGAGAGGGGATGCTGGACTTGCTGTCTGTAAGTAGCCGGAATCCCTCATCGCCCAGTGACATGAGAGACCTACTGTCATCTTGCAAAGGATGAAAGTGAGCCCCAAAGGGTTAAACCCTGTCCTTATGGGTCACATCAGTGAAGTAAAGCTGACAGCACCTGCTAGAGGCCCCCTCCTCCTCTAAAGATAGGTGGAAATCTCTGTTTACACTGAAGAGATTGTATCGTTTGGGGTTGTTCTACTGTAAAATTTCTCACGGCCCTCAGCTGGCTCAGCAGGTAAAGGTGCTTGTGGCTCAGCCTGACCCTCTGAGCTCTTTCCCTAGAACCGGGGCTGTGGTGGAAGGAGAGAACTGACTCCACGGAGTGGTCCTCTGACCTCCACATAAGTGACGTGGCAGGCAGGTACCCACATACTCACACACACCATGTACACCTCTAGTAATAATGAATTAATAAAAATTCTAAAAATAGGTCTCAATAATTCTTTAGATTTAAAGCTAAGGTCTTGGCAAACCAGACTTGACAGCTAGGATTTTCAATAAAGGAAACTCCTCAAGAGGCCATCAGGGTCCCGGAGTCTCTTTGCGACTCTCTTTGACTCTAAAATGGAAAAGGAAAGGGCTCTTCTGAGAGCATCCAAATCAGGGTTAGAGGCCAGCAGGGCAGCTGCCGCCTTTCTGCCCAGCTCCGGAGGCTTTGTAGCTATGTTTTCAGGCCCCTTGGTCCACTGAAGTATGACACCCTAAAGGAGAAGTCAGCCCCAGAAAATATTCGACTCTGTCTCTTTAATTAAATCCTGAAAGCAGGATCTATGCTTCAGAGCGCTGAGCACACAGAGGACACGAATGAACCTGTGTGTCTGTGCCCTGTGCTGACGCAGAACCCGGGGCAGAATGAAGCCACTGCAGGTGACCTACAGGCCTCTCCCCCTAAAGAACAGACACCTGACCCCAAGTCCTGAGGGCCTGAAATCAGTGGTGTGTGTGTGTCCAGACTTCTCAACATCAGAAGACCTGGATATTTTCTCGACTGTCAGAGTTTGGCTTCAAGAACAAAGCAAACTCCGGTTGTATAAACTGTTCTTCAGCATGGGGCGCAGCCTTCTCTGTGCACAAGACAGGCAAAGGACATTTTTATTTGTTTTTTTTCTTTTTTTTTCGTTCTTTCCTTTATGACTGGCACGATTCAAGGTAACTGAGGACAACTTGAATTTCTTAGTCTTCGTGACTCCACCTTTCAAGGGCTGGGATCACAGGTGTATGCCGCCACACCCCATTATAGTCAGGACTTCCAGTATTTGAGGCAAGCGCTCTACCAGCTGAATTACTTCCTCAGCCTCTGTTTTGTTTCAATTCTTGGTGCCCAGGTCATGCATGGCACACACACACACAACCCCCACACACACAAACACACAAACAAATCTGTCTCTTGGGTGGATGGACATCTGTTTTCTTCCCTACAAGTATCTAAAGCAGGACTGGAATTGAGACTCAAGGTATACAGAGTATATTCTCTGAAGTATTAGGTACAGTTTTAGCTTTTCTTTTAGTTCTGTTAGGTGTGTCCCTAAACTTCGATATCACTAGTAAGTTCTCGTCTTCTGTTTGCTAGTTTGGGACCTTGTGGCTAATCACTTCATGGAAGTGCATTTTGCATTTAAATTCACCCATTTCAACTTTAAGGGTGCAGCTGGCATTATTAGCATCGTTTGCCTCCCTTGAGAAACAGGAAAGAACATATTTCATTTCAACATAATCAATGGTCTACCTGTGTGGGGAACAAAAAAAAAGCCTTGATGTGTAGAATTGTTGACTTCCAGACACTGGCCTGTTTGAGCTGTTTTGCTCTACTAAGGAATAAGCAAATAAACGAGATGGCTGGTGATTTAACTGCCATCCTGCAAAACTGAATATCTAAATGCCAGCAGAAGCCACTCTTGGCCCCGGCACCCCAGTGACAAGCTCTTCATAGGAGATAACCAGAGGAATCCTGGCAAGGACCTGCTGCCTCTGGCCGGATTCTGAATATAAATGAAACTCAGTCTTTGAACCTTTAATCCACTTTGGTGATGTATGATCAGTACCAAGCCAGAATAATCCAGTTTTTTCGAAGCTCCATTTAAAAAATTTTTTATTTTTGTCATGGATAGATAAAAGATGCCTAGATTTAATGCCTTAATTTTAAAATTATTTTAATGAGCTTCTTCAGCTATTAGATGTTTCTTTTTGTTGTTGTTTTGTTTTTTGCGGTGCCATGGATGAAACCAGGGACCTTGTGTGTTTTATATAAAGAGATAATTCAGTGGAGGCGTGACCCACAGGAAGGGGCGGGGACTAATCTTGGTTCTATAGAGAGATAATTCAGTGGAGGTGTACACCCACAGGGAGGGGCAAGGACTAATCTTGGTTCTCTAGTTCCCATTTTTTTCAGGCTCTTGAATATGTCATTACTGTGAATTAGACCCAGAACTGCAGCAAGTCTATCCCTGGCCCTCCCAGAACACATAGAAACACTGGCTGTATAGTCTCTAAAGGAGACTTGGACCCCAACAAGCCACTCAGCTCCGTCAGAGTGCCAGTCCAAAAGCACTTATTTTCCTCTTCAGTCCATTAGTGAGCCCCAGAGGCGAGGGGAAACAAAGCCCTGTTTGTTCCAGAGGTGTAGGAACAGGGCAGGCCCAAGCAGGAGGGGAGGCAACGAAAGCTGGGCTCTGTGGGACCAGCTAGGTCCCTTCCTAGGTGGGCGTGAGTCAGGCACTGGGAGGCTCAGCACGCTGGCCACCCAGCCACAGCTTCCCACACCCAGCACCCGAGCAAGGACCACAGGACTGTCAGAACCCCCAGGGCAGGAGGTGGTGTTGTGTGGGCCTTGTGTCCAGTTTGTAAAATCTTATCTGAAAAGGGATTATAACCCAGCCACAGACACTCCTACCGAGAGCATGGACGGGAGGGGGGGGGGGGCAGAGCAAACTTCAGGTCTACCAGGACTTATAGGTACGGGGGAGAATGGTGGGGAGTCCTGTGGGTCTTTTAGGATTCAAAGACAGGTCCAAGGAAAAGCTCCAGATGAGTCTCGGAGGAGCTTTTAATGGACAATAAGGCAGAGCCGGCTATCTAGGGAAGGTGATGCAGGAAGGACAGCCGTTGGCATGGCAACTTCTGCTGACATAGACGAAAGCTTCTGCAGGGGTTAGGACGGATGTAGATTAAGCTTCCCTATGAACCTTGCCTGGAAGTTCAAAAATAGAACTGTCCTCCTCATCGATCCTACTGCTGAGTTCTAAGAGTCCCTGGAATTTGAGCTAACAGCTGCCAGGGATGCCCCGTCCCCTCTCCTTACTTAGTCCATAGGCCCCACTCCCTACCTCAGGTAAATTACAAGGCGTTAAGACTGAGACCCAGGAGTTGGCTGATTCCAGTCCAAAGCTCTTGTAGTCGTCATTTCCAGAGAAACATAAAGCAAAATCTGACTCTTCGGAAAAAAAAAAAAAAACAAAAAAACAGCTGAGTTCTCCTCAAGGACTGACATTTTCATGAGGATGAATCCATTCAGGAGACCCAAACAGTGCAAAGCTGAGATCATAGGTTATGATCTAACTTTTAGCTTCTGAAACTATATGGATGGCCCACTGTACAGAGAAAAATAGAGAGGGAGAATTTTTTTTAAAAAAATGAGAGTTCACCTGTCCTTAAAAATATTTGCAAAGTGGGGAGCGCGCATGGGCACTCCCAGCAGTTGGGATGCTGAGGCAGGAGGAAGGCTGGTGAGTTTGATGCCTGCCTGAGCTAGATGGGGAGGCCCTGTCTTTCAAAAAGGAAGGGAGGAAGGAAAACAACCTTTGTTGTTTCTCACATGTAAGAGAAAGTCAGAGGTTGTCAGAAAACAAAACAACAAAAAAAAGTCAGCTTTTTAGTAAAGGTACAGGGGACAAATGATTTTGGCTTCATGACTTCACCACAGCTGCTCATACACGCTACTGTGACACTAGACACATGTAAGAGAACATGCACACACGGTGTGAGAGTGCGCACACACTACTGTGACACTGGACAAACACAAGAGAACACTCACACACGGTGTGATAGGACTCCAACCAAACACTAGCTGTGGATAATGGCATGTGGATTTTATTCTCTCTCTCTCTCTCTCTCTCTCTCTCTCTCTCTCTCTCTCTCTCTCTCTCTCTCTCTCTCTCTCTCTCTCTCTCTNCTTTCTTTCTCTCTCTCTCTGTCTCTCTCTCTTTCT